ATAAAATATATATATATAAAATTTGATAGTGTATATATATGTATATATAAAAGAAGAAATACATTTTATATCGTTATATTATGATATGACCAACAAAAAGTTAATGCTATTATGATTAATTTAATTCTGTCATTCTTGTCAGAAATATTATATGAGAATCTTGGAGTACCTTTTTTAAGATTAGAGAAAGTTAAATATCTAAAAATCTTCCTATTGGCTTTATATTTAACCAAACGTGGATAGATGTTCGAAATCATAAATTTTTATGTAAATTATTACATTTGTCTAAACTAATTGAAACGTAAAAAATAATAATAAGACTGAAAAGTTGTTGTCTAAATAAATTTTCAAGAGTATATCGCAGCAAAAAACCAAGCAATTCAATTTAATTGAATGCAAAAATATTAAATATTAAAAAAAATTGGTAATAAAAGATGTAACTAAAGAATGTTTTTCCTTTAAAAGCTGCGACTTTATGACGATTATGTCTCTCGCATTATTTGATAAAGAAGGGAAAGGAAGAAAGGAGATGATGGATCTTTTTTTTTTTTTTTTTAAGTAGGTAGAGAAGAAAAAAATCGTAGGGTGATTTGGCATCGGCTGTACTTTCTTAAAATCGTACAGGAGATCAATGCTTAAACTTGGGTAACGAACTATAGCTAAATCATGTTTATCTTCTTTCTTAAAGCTGGTCGCATTCTGATACGGATTCGCAACCGCCCTTTTGAGCTTCTCCTCATATTTTCGCAAAACCATGTCCAAGTCGAGAAAATTCAAAACATATATTTATGAAAATTAATTTGGAAATTTTAAGTCGCTTCGATATTGCGCGCGTTTCAAGAATGCGGCATCGAAATTGGCGTAATATCTATTGCGAAGATCTGCTTCCTAAAAAGATTCTAAAATCTCCCCAGTTATTTAGCAAAAGAAAATCCGTCGCTGAATACTTGGGGAAATTGAAACAGCAGTCACGAGTCCCAAAAATCCATGGACCAGCTCAGACATCCGATTCTTTCAATCCAATGAATACGCGCGATATACTCTGCTCTATATCTTAGAAGCTAATAAACTAATCCTTATGAATAATCTAAACTTGCGTGTATTTCGTAGCTCTTCTCTTTTTCTTATAGCGTGTTTTTGTGTGTAACGACATCGTTTAAAGATTTTTCTATGAATGTCTCAGAAAAACAAACGTAGAATATATTACATTAATTAATTTGGACACAAATCATTACTCTATCTACAATCTAATTTTTATATTCTTCTTAATATTACTTATTCTTATCCTAATACAAAAGAAGATATGACATGTTTCATAAAAAAATAGCGACGAGAGTTATATTCTCTCTCTTCTTCCATCCACAAGCGCGTTCTCCCTTTTTAACTTTTCTTCTATTTATCTAATCTTTCTGTTTTCCTCGTCTCGCGCCTTTCCTCGCTGTTACTATTGTTCTCGTAAACCGCGATATTACAAAGCAGTGAATTACAGACAAAGATGTACATGATGAAAAATGATGTTATTTTCTATTTCTTGATTTTTTTTTATTCATTTTTTTTTTTTCTTTTTAATTCATCTATCTCTCGACCTGTTTCGCCTGCACTCATGGTAGATAAAACTATATGAATGGCACAGCCAACGCAAACCTCGCGCCTCCTGCCGGAGTTCCCCTTTCTCCGTTATTCCTCTCGGCGATGCTATTTCCCGCTTCTGGTATTGTTTCACGTCGCGCACAAACGAAATGGAAGAAGACGGCAAGGTTTGAACAAGAAAGCTGAAAGATTTTAGCTGCGTATCTGACCCGCGTTACGGGCGATCTTCTCCGGCGGCTCTATCATACTCTTTGTGGTGCCGTTCAAGCCGCGCTTACGACTCTTCATGAAGTCTGGAACAGATAATGGAAAAAACATATTTATATAGACCGATACAAGTATGACGAAAGAGTAATCGAATAGGAAATATAGAAATTTATTGTCGTTTTAGTAACATTCTTTCTCTGAGAATATTTCAATTGCATAAACATATAAAAAGAAAATTTATATATATATATATATATATATATATATATATGTATAGCTTGTAACCACCAGTCGTATTTTTGGGCTATAATCTCAAAAAGGAAATGGCGAGTGAGAAAATATCAGGAGGAGCAAGATACGGTAGTGTACTTTATGAGGACCGTTTTAACAGGGTATTGATAAACAAAATGTCGTGTATAATAAACAGCTACCATTATAAAAATCATTTAAGAATACACACATAGCGCTAATATTACGTTTTATAAATTCGTTAACGACGAACGAAGTAAACGTTCATTTTACAAATACGTACTGAAATTTTTTAATTATGAACCGCTTAATTCGCTCAATCTCGATATAAAAGAAGAAATTTTTCTTCGTAATTATTGATAACAAAAATGAAAATCTGTAATTTATTAACTTCTCGTTGGATACCTAAAATTTGAGTTTCCGATAATAGCTTTCCTTCTTTTTATTAATTTATATATATTATCATAATATATATATATCCTATATATTTTTAAATAATTTTTTGATTAGAATAATCTTATCACAATATGCTAATAAACAATATTTATTATTATATATGCATTTTTTATATTTACTTTTATTTGTATTGAATCTGAGAATGAGATAATATAAAAGACATCTGGTGAATAACGCAAGCAATTCACGGCTTATCTTTGACTTTGATTTCTTATATGTAATCGCATGCAATGCCAGACTTGACCTTATGCACAATCCGGCTTGCTAACGACCGTATGTGCATGCGAAATCTTTCCTCTGATAACCTTGGGAATATAATATCGACACACCGCGTCGCTAATTATATCAGAGGAAGATAAGAGCGTGAGATCAGGATTTTATATTGTTTTTATTAGTTGTTCTACGCAAATGTAATTTCGAGACAAATATTTTCGTTGCCACGAAACAAATATTTAATTATTTTTCTGTGAAATCTCGTAATAAACGTGTGAGATAGAAACGTTTGAAAGACATAAATTAAATTTTAACGGTATATAAAATTCTAAAATTAATATGTTTTGCATATAGAAATTTACATGTGCGTTCGTCAATTATGTGATCAAATTTGAATAAAATAAAAATTTGATTATGTCGAAGCGAGTTTGCAGATCGTGACTCATAAATCGATACGCTGTACCCCAAAGGTATAAAGGCACCCTCTCAGACCCCTTTGGAATAGCATTTGGCGAACTTTTCTACGGTAAAATTAGGTGCATCTGTCTAATTTTCTATTCGAACTTTTGTGTATTTGTAGGGTCGTCTGCCGAGTCACGTGACAAAAATTACGAAAATCACACGATACCTAGCATTCACATATTTTTTCTTATTACGAAATTATTCGATTATTATATTATAACCTTTTTATCTATTTCGCGCGTGTCATCAGACATATATTTATTTATTATGTGATACTTACGTTATTATAAATACCGCAACTTTTTCAAAATCAAAATCCAGAAAACTACATCTTTTTTAATCAGTAATTTAGAATATATCGCGAAATTTTTAGAATCCGAGAACTGCGGGATAAAATAAAATTGGACGAATACAAGATTTAATAATTATTTCCCGATGCTACTTACCCTCTAATTTAAATACCTACGAGACTACATATGCGGGTCCTAAATCCTGATTTTAAATGCCGACCCTCTTGCAACGATACGTCTGCCGCCCCTGGGGTTCATAGTAGTCAGGGGCACGCGATTGCGTGCACAGCTGATGCCCCCCACGCGTGCAAACACTCGACGTACACGCGTCACGCGGAATACAAAGGGCCTGAAAAGGGGGGCGGGTGGGGATTGTGAGAGAGGAAAAGCATGGGGGTGCATCGGGGGCCGGCAACCCCATATGGATTTCAACAGCTGACCGCGCGGCTCATTAATAAAGTACGTTAGAAATATCGTTCGGCGCCCCCATAACTATATCCGTAAAGCAAAATACGTTACGAACTCGTTACTACCCCCGCGAAGGAAGGAATTGAGTAGCGTAGATAGGAAACCCAATCGGTTTCTCATCCATTCTACACGTGTGTACAGGATGTTCCGGAAGTGTAACTTCCTCTCAGACAGATAGCAGAAAACGAATTGAGAAAAATGTTTGACTATCGAGGTATTCTCTCTCATGTATAAAAAAAAAAAAAAAAAACAATTTATTATTAAATATTATTGTATGTCAGATTTTGATAAGAATTGGGAAAAAGAATGAATGAGATGAAATAAAAATTCGATGTAAATCGATGGATGTTTTTTCGTCGACTTGCAACTGTGCAGTATCGCTTTTCGCATTGCAGTAAAAATATAAACAAAAACGTTGTTGTGGCACGACGTGAAATGTGTTTACACGCATGTGTATACGCGTGCGCGACACATGACCAGTCACATCCAAAAATAGTCGCGTCGCGTGGGTGGTGTGCATGGCCGAATAATAAATAGGAGAAAAAAGAGAGAATTAGACTTTGTGAGATTTATATCATCTATACAAGACGGCTGTATTGCAACACGAGCGTGCATAGAAAATGCACAAAAGTCGAAACTTTGTAAAAATATTCGAAACCGCGTAAACGCTTGTTAATTTCAATCTTTGCGATAAAAATTTTTATCAAGTTAATAGAAAAAAGGTTAAAGTAATGAGATATTTATATATATATATATATAAGAGCATAATTTTAACATTGTAGAATTTTGAATATTGCGGTTTCACGTATTATAAATAACTCAGATTTCGCAGTTGCATATCTGTTCTCGTTCTTTCCCTTTTTTTTTTCTTTTATAAAATTGCCGACATCTCTTATCTCTCAATCACATTATGTGACTCAATTATATGTTGACTCAATCTCTTCTCATCTTCGCACGATCGATTAATCATTATCAAACAAATTTCCAGACAAAGAATGGCGATTAAGCACGAATTTGGCATTGCAAATCGTTCACGATACACGTTGCACGTAAATATATATAGTGCCAACAGTGATAATTCTGCGCACGAGAGCGATAACACGTGTACAAGTGAATCGTATATGCAATTATGATTAGCGATACTGTTTTTTCCGTTTCAGACTTCTTTGCAAATATTATTGCAAGCGCATCATTGTATCAGGATTCCCTTGAAAAAATAATAATATAAATATAAGGCGTTTGTTTTGAAGGAAGAATATATAAACCAAAATTGAGCTAATTTATTTAAAGTTAAAATTGAAAGGACTGAAACATCCTAGACACGTTGCACAAATTTACATACATACATACACACACACCCACCCACATATACGAATTCTTTGTTCATCTCGCACAAGTTTGTTATGTTATCTCAAAATTTGGCTTGCGCCACTGCTGTCGTAAACATGTAATGCAATATTATTTTGATTATGTCATCGTTTACATCGCAGACAAGCGATTTTGCTTATCTGTAGAGGAAAAAAGAATATATATTTATTGCCAACGCGTCTCTCCTTTCAACGTTATCATAGTATGCGATAATGCAGTTTTGATAATTCACCTTTGCAGATTTCATCGGTAGAATCTCTTATTGATATGTCATCGAAAAAGAAAAAAATAATTTTGCACTTTTACAGAATATTAAAAAAATGATATATACTACAAGAAGTTAATATTATAAAATAATAGAAAAAAAAAATTAAAGTCAATTAAAGTAGAAACTTTAGCTGATTACTATGTCGAATATAAGATGAATATACGATAAATTCAAGAATATATTATGAAATAATTATTGAAAAGATTTCTAAATCAATTTTTGTATTATATATTTTTTATTTTAAATATATATATATATATATTGGTTCAAGTCTATATATTGTGATAGCCGTAGCCAGCAGAAAATAGCATTGATAACAACTTGAAATACATGGGCGATACGAAGCGTAATTTGCTGTTATTATCAGGTGACGTAATTATACACGAATTGCGGCAATCTTACACAGACGAATTGGATTGACCTAGGCTATACGCTTCCTGTATAAATATACAAAATGAGCCATTTAATCGCGATAAATCCTCTCCAAAAGAAGTCTGTAATCTTTCGATACGGAATCTTTTCCGCAATTCGCAGAATTCATGGAACAAGTACGATCATGATGTTTGTATCGAAAGCAATAAATCACACTTTCCGGGATCTCTCTATATATATATTTGCCGGAAAGAAATTCGTAATGATAAAATAACACTTATATGATCGTGTCCTTATTGTCCCCGTTAAATTCAAAAATTATTACTATAAAATAGATAATTTATGGACTCGGAGGAATGAATTCTCTCTCTCTCTCTCTCTTTCTCTCGCGATTCAACGCAAGACAGATTCCGATAAAATAAATGATCAATTGAAGTGAATATATACAAAAGAATGATACTTGGCTCGCGCGCGCGCGCGCGCGGGCGAGGTCCAACGCGAAAACAATGTAAATTACTTCCCGTCGAATACGACTCACGTGTATACGCAATACAGGTGTAAACAAACTTTATCGTGCTTGAACCTCGATGCCTCCGCAGATACGCGCTGATGAGTTACGAGTAGATTAGAATCGTTAAAAACTAAGATATACGCGGTGCAATGGAGCGGAACGCGCGACGTGAACGGCGATACGCGTGATTTCGTCGGCGGGATAATCAGCGGAGAGCGACCAATCAGGTGAATCGTCGTCGTCGATGATAACGGCAGCCGCGTTAATTTCGTACGCGAACGCGTGCGCGCGATCAAACAATTCCAAAAACAAACATCGCCCGGTTGCATTTATATAATCGACAGAAATCCATCGCCCCGAACGCGATACACGCCTCGCGAGTAAGCCGTAAATAATTTTTATCAATAATTTCGCGCGATATGGCGATATTTTTTTCTTCGATAATGATGTTTCACAACATCGAAATCAAAGAGCCCAATAGAATTGTAATGGTGAGAAGTTGCTGGTAAATTGTCGGAAGTCGAACAAAAGCAAGGACACGTCGCTGAATGTTGAAGAGCTTATTTAATTGGCCGAACTTACCGGTGATCGTGGATTGCTTTCTCGCGACAGAGGGTAGAACGGGGGTGGTCGGCTCTACCGCGCACCTCTTCCACTTGGCGTTGGCGTCCAACAGCTGATTGGGCATCGTAGCCTCGCCGATCTCGGGCACCCTGGGCTCTTGCGGCGGCGTTCTCTCGGCCGTCGGCGTGGCGCACATCGGCGTCTCCATCTGCTCGAGAATCCTCGTGGTCGTCGTCGTCGTCGTCGTCGTAGTCATCGTACTTATCATCGTCGTCAGCAATGTCGTCGGCGACGTCGCCGCGACGGTGGTTGTCGTTGACGCGTCGTCGTCGACGCGCAATTTACGCGGCGTGCCGGGCGCGTGTTTTCTCAGATAGGGCATCCCGCGCAGGGCGTAGGGCTCGGGCACGACGTCGTTCTCCGTCATCTCTTCCCATTCGTAGCGCGAGTTCTCCCGCGGTATTCCCAGCTTGAATTCGAAGCCCCATCGATCGGCGTCGAGGAGCGATTGGGCGTGCAACTCGCGCTCGGCGAGAGCACGGGCCGCCGCGTGGTCCACCGGCCCGAAGAGATCGCGTCGGACGCGGGCGAGCGCGGCCCTGCTCGGTGCCGCTCGTCCACCACCGCCATCGCCACCGCCTAGATTCCTGCTTATTTCCGTCATCATCACCGGGTTCAGTACTCGTGCGCTCATATTTCGTCGCGCTCTATCGCCACCGCGCTCCACAACGGCAAACGCTCGCGCGCCGTTTCTCCCTCTCTCTCTCTCTCTCTCTCTCACTGCGCGCCAAACGTACGCACGCGAAAACAAATAACACCAAAATCCGGGCGTGGAGAGATTTCAAAGGCAGGAACGTACGCTCGAGCGCACACACATACACACTACTGTCTTTTACTATTTTTTTCTCTTTTCCCCTTTACGTCTCTCGCTCTCTCTCCGTGTTTTTTCAGCGCGCTATCGATTTGCGAGCTACGCGATAGTTTCTCTTCTAGCAATGGCCGTGACGCATTGGGGATGACGATGACTCCTTCCAGGAATCGTCGTTGCCGCCGTCGTCGCGGGACGTTGGAATCGCGGCTACGCACTGTGGACGGGATATATGGCAACGCCGCGATCCGTGGCGCGACCCACCGAATTTCGAATAATGGCCGCGTTGCTGCTGAGCGTTGACCAAGTCTCCCGCTTCGCGCACGGATTCACGGACTTGACGTTGCGGTGGTCGCGCGACTCACGTCGACGCTCATGCTCGTCGAGAAGATAGGTGACGAGGACGATGATATCCGAGGTCGACTTCTGTGGGAAAGAGCCTGTATCACACGGCTATGCGTGCGACGGCAAATAGCAGCCGCGCTTGGCAACACGATGGGCACGGTTACTATGTGCCAGACAGAGATAGCGGCGGCGAAAACAAACTCTCCCCCCCCCTCATGCGCTTGATTCTCGGTGCACCGAGACGAAACTGTCCGTCAGAGTCACTGTAAAGACGCTCCTCGCGTCCCGACGCGAAAAATACACGGGACTCTAGTCACACTATCGACGCACTCTCCCTGCGACACGGAAGATTCCTTCGGCGTAGTCGTAGTCTGTGGGAGAACGACGATCCGGCAACGTTGCGTGACCGCACTTGCGCGTGAGTATCCGAGCGACGGCGAGAGAGCGTGTTACGACGTGTCCCGCGCGAATTTCGTGGTCCACCGTCGGCAATCGTCTTGCGTCGCGGGCAGATCTTCGCTCTTTGTTCCTTCTCTCCAAGTATCTCTCTCTCTCTCTCTCTCTCTCTTTCTCCCCGTACTCACACACGACACAGTATTGATGCGTATATCCGAGACGCGATAACGCAATCGGTCGTCTTGACGCGAGAAAATTCCATAGAAAACCGCTATTGCACACGGCCCGCAGCAATATGTCGATCCGCGGTGGGGGAATCGCCGAGTTCGCCTTTGACACCGCGTAAATAATCACGTAAATACACAGGCCTCGCGTCGTTTCCCGCCAAACGCGCGACTGTCAAGGCACGCGCGTGGCCCACCCGAGTCCGGAAGGACGTGCGGGGTACGATTGCGCAGTTACGTGTTCGATGCCGTACACGGGCGATACGTGCGCGAGCTGGCGGCCCCACGGAGTTGCGCAAAGACGCGTAGTAATCACGAAAAGCGCTCTCTAGCGACTGAAGCGTACTTATTCGAGTGCGAGCGACCGAGCCTCCCGCGAGCCTCGGCGTTCTCCGTCGCTGCTCGGCTCGGCTCGGCCGCCCGATCGTTCCCCCCCGCCCTCCGTCACCGTTCAGGCCAATCACGCGACGAGCGGAGAAACGAAATAACCGCCATTCGCGATGTATAGTCCCCTCGACGTGACTGCGGCTAGCGCTCGAAGCTCGGACTTGCCGGAGCCAGGAGCGTGTTGCGGAAAGATATGGTACAGTTATCGGTCCCTACCAAGGTAGGCGAAGAGGGGAAAGAGCACGGCCGAGAGAATGCCAATCGCAACCTCTCTGGAGACGTGCTCCAATATTCCAAGTTCCGGACTCGAGGGACGAAATTTGAAGAGTTTGTCTCTCGCACACGCATTGGCTCAGATTCTCGAGGAAATGATAATTGCACGGTAGGAACACATAGATAAATATCTAGCTGTCGCGACGATCTTCTTTTATGAAAATTAATACCAACGGAATTTATTTCCGTGTCACAAAGATATCCGATTAATTTCTTGATTTTTATTCCAAAATGTTTTATAATCAAATTTTTTATCATATATTTTCTCTCATACGTTTCGTTATTCTATGACGCGATTAACGAGACCAACGCGGAGGATCGGGATCGAAAACACGCATTGTTGAATTAATTTAATTGTGGCCTTAATTCGTCGCTTTAATTGTCCTTCACGCGCTCGTGCCCATGGATGGCAGCCGCGAAAAGAGAGCGGCGCGTCCCCTGGTTAACGGCGGGAAGAGAGGGGGGGGG